AATGCAATCCAACAACTTTGAAAAGGCGCAAAAACTGAAATCATACAACATGTAAAAAACAAACACGATATGTATTTCTATATAATAATATACGAAAAACCTGAATTTTATATATAAGTAACGATGACTGCAAGTTAGGGCCACACATATCCGGCGCTCACATCAGCCTTCAGATAACACCATTAGCGAAAGTGCCGTCACCGCACTTTTCAGTAAAAAGGTCAATCCAGCAAATAACCTCCCGACCCGAGATTTGGTTAGCTTCTGGACATCGTTGAATATAATATAACAAAAAGTTTCTACACTACGTTACAACAATAGCTACCACTTCATTCAACAAGCAAGTATTCTATGCTAAAAAATCAACCGAAATTGTTGATTTTTGTGTATTTCCGATTAGAAGTCTTACAGATTGATTGCTCAACAAGTAAGTAACAGCAATCAAAGAAATTCATGTACAAAAGAATACGTTTTAAAAAATCTTCAGAAATTAAATCAAAGCATACACAATAAAAGTTCTTAGTAATTTTCACGCTTACGTGTCAAAACTGAAACAAAAAATGAATGGGTAGACAAATGCATACCGAGTGAGTAGTTTAAAATTAGTTTAAATGTGCGTCCGCCTCCATTTCTTTGGGCGTACATCACTGAGATCCAAAAGCAGTAAATATCGTAGTGAATAATAGCACTAGTTGACCAAACAGTACCGTTCTGTAGCAAAAGAAGCGTTCATCAAAAGTCAGTTCGGTAGTTGAACGATTATCGACACAACCCATAAACTGCGTTGAAATTCATCCTTGAGAATGAACGTAAGGACACGCGTTCCCCATAACACAGAAACCACACCAAACGTACATCTCACAGAAATCTTTTTTGGAAGATGCCTAAAATATTGCTATAGAGGAAACCACCGCGTAAAAGAAAATTCAAGTGGGAGAGTAATGTAGAAGTTCGGTAAAATTCTTTTGAAAAGTCTGCCAGTACTCGGAATAGTTTTACTAACCATCCCAAACTGTAAATCCTTTAAATTCACCCCATGATCTGTAACGCTGTGGCAGTCAGTACCGTTGGAGGGACATGGTAGAGAGGAAAACATAGGCTCTTTATCTAGACTAGGAATCGAAGATCCGATGGGCGAACATATGTCACTCAAAATACCACTATCCCAGACGTTAGAGGGTTTCTGCACAAAGAGAAAACCATTATAAACACTATGCAACACGAAAAAACACTTTTTAAAAGCCACTTCGTTAAGACACTCAATTTAATAATACTTCAATTTAACTACTGAATATCCATACTGTAAGTTGCAAAATCTCTCACAAATATCTCCGTTCAATTTTTTTTCAAAAACTCACTACGACTGGTTCGTTGGTGCAGCTTTTAAAAGATAAGTAAGCAGCTTGCCTTACTACTGCGGAAGATTTTTGAAGTCTTATTATAAGTGGCATCAAGCATTTGGTTCTAACTCAAAAATTTACATATTATTCAACTTATTCTGCCAAGAAATTAAAGCTTTAGTTATTCTGCAACAAAAGATAATAATAGGCTTTTGAAAGTCACTGTTTTTCCATAATTTTCTATTTCTGACAGAAATTTAATGCTCTGAGAAACACGAAATTATCTTGGATGCCTAATGTACGAACAGAATTAAAAAACCAAAAACCGTTTTAAAAAATTTTCAGGATTTATTCAAGTTATAACCATAAAGAAATAGATCCTATTACTAATTAATAGTAATCTGCTTAGTGATGATATCTTTTATCTATTTATCCAAAAATAAAATTTGTAAAATTTTTACTACTGTCAAATTTTAATATAACAGAATTAAGTCTCCGTCTAACCCTACACAAACGAAGAAAAATGGATTACTTGAAACCGCGACAACCACCTACTTTGTTATTGAAGAGAACTGAAGAGCGACTGAAGCATTTGTTCTTACGTTTATTCCTGTGACCAGAAGACTTTGACTTTCCCTTTTCTGCTACTTTGGCCGAAAAAGCCTGAAGATCTTGTGGTCCATGAGCAAACCTAAACCAATAAAACATTGCAGATATCTATAGACTAAACAACAAATTACAAACAAATATTTCAGTTTTTTGTAAAACAACTGAGGTAATTATCCTTAGCTTTCAAATTTGTTTATAGCTTTTTCTGTAGACCAACCAACAAGCATTCCCAAATTTGCAAGGTGAGCCGTTACACCAATACTGACACAATTCCGTTTTATATAATTTTGCATTTGGACATGTTAAATGTCCCGCCTGGTGGTTGAACGAGTTGAAATTCCGAACATGAAATATGTTAGCATGATCAACAGGAGCGTTCTAAAATAACAGTTTCTTGAATAATCCTTTAAAGATCCTTATAAGAAATAAAATTCAGTGTCATTGATCCGTAAGAAGAAATGCAATCAAAAAAAATAAGCAAAATATGCACAGTTTAAAATCACTACACTAACACCTACTATATTAGACGTTGAACAGTAATCGTTTTTGTGAGTCAACTGTGTTAGTTGCTGCAACGCCCTATTAATCAAATATATTTGGCTTGGTTCTACCCTCGGCTGTATAATACGCTGACTGAAAATCAAATTACGCCAAAAGCGAGTTAAGTCAACCCCAACCTTTTGAATTCTGTAATTCTATTTGAGACGAAGTGGCCACAAATGAACTTACGAGACAGCAATCTGTAGAGGTGAGTTTTTTGCGATTAGTTTATTCTCGAAGAACATGCCCATCCAAACAGCTTGTTAACTAAAATTATAATTTTATGTAATTTAGAAAGGTACTATCGATGTAGAATATATCAAACTGTAACATCAAATTTTCCAGAAACAAGAACTATAGGAAGCTTTTCAATACAAATATATATACATTTATTTTTTAAAAAATTGTAAATAAAAGATAATATGAGATGTGAAATGAGACACAGTTAGCAAAATATTAATACTGATAAATCTCGAGAAGCAGACTACCATAAACTTTATATGCCACTTGCAATATTATAAAGGAAAATGAATGAGTTGAAAAAAATTAACAAGGGTCTCCATCAAATTACCAAGGAAGAGAAGGTTGTGAAGCAGACCAGATAATACTACTTCAGCTTATCTAATACAGATGTTGTTGTCAATTTTTTAAGATTAGAGTCCATTAACTTTAGGGAACATGACACATAACCTCACTCCAGTGCAAACCTTGAAGTGTTTTAGTGTAGTATGATCTACGACGCAATTCGAAAAACTGGCCAATGCTTGGGCTGGCATTCTTCGGAAGTAACAGACCATAATGCATTTCTATTTTCAGGCTGCTTTTTTCTTTTGGCACTTTTCATCTGAAAACTGGCAAATCGGATAAATGAAGAAAACGTATAAGAAGAAAAACAGAAATAAAAGATTCGAATAGGTATTAGTGGTTCTAGCTTCTTCATGAGATACAGTAGTGCTAAAAAATCAACAATTTTACCCTTGCAACTGTTTGCTTGATCACTGCGCAGGTAATCCAGTCTTTCGAGATAAAGTGTTATGGTAACAGTAAATTTATTTCTAGAAAAAATAGAGAATTTATCGCATTCTACAAAGAGTTCAAGAAACTGTTGAAAAAAATAATATGTAGTGAAATAAGGTGATCGTTGAACAGATATCATAAATGTTATAAAAGTATCAAACAGCGTGTTTTCTAAAAAGACTTATTGAACTTATAATCCGTTCTAGAAGGTGCAGACGTTTCAGCAGTTTTAGTTCAGCAAAAACTGATCACTTGTGTTATGCAAGCACCTCGCTCGTTAATATTTTGCCTATGCTGCAACGACTACTCCGTTTAAAATTAGGCAGCTTTACTTATGTCCTATCGCACCCGTAGACCAGCGCTGACACTAATATATTTTTAAATAGAAAATATCAGAAGCTTTCAAAATGTTACAATTTTGCAGTTTCTGTTTTTTAAATAAGCTGCAGTAAGGGTGACACTGAAGTGCAGTACTCATAAAACGTAATCACAGTATTCGTTGTATTTGATAAGTAAATTTCAATAAACACTTCCCAAACAGTACATTCGGCAGCACCTCAAACATCTGCTTCCCGCCTTCTCTTTTTTCTTCTGGATGTCTTTGAAGTTTAAGACTAATCAGTCTTTGGTCCCGTATTCTTCTTCTGTGGCGCAACCGTATCGGGATGGTATTAAACGTGATAGCTTTCACGTTCAGCCTTTTGAGAAGTAATAACTCAATATTAGCAAAAGTTAAATGATCTATCTGTCACACTTGACCTATGGCTTGATTATTTCTCTACGTAGGAACGATTCAAATAATTGAACTATATTTCGCAGAATACCTGCAAAGAATTTATCAGTTTAAATTTTGGTTGGGTTTTTCTTGTATGGCAGGAATATCTTACGGTCTTACGGAGAAAAATGCCATTGACCAGAAGTTATTTTTGAAAACTTGGTCAAGAAACCTTATAAAAACTTAACTTTTGCTTCTAACTCTCTTAATTTTGACGTACAATGCATTTGATGAACTTATAGTAAGTTGTGAAAGATAGCTGAAACTCGTGGCGAAAAACGCAGTTTTCCGTGATTCTTGTGACAAGTAACAGAATCAAATAACAAAATTTTTGGAATTAATAAACAGACGAAATCAAGGCTATAAGGGAGTTCCTCTTCGTTCTTCTGTTTAGGTACAGGCCGCATTTTATTGAGAGACTGCAGATTCAAATCACCACTTATGACCAAGATTTAGCAAGCGCAGTATTAGGTCGAGAGAGTACTGGATAAGAGATGAATAGAAAGTTTTGTTAAATCAATTATAGTTTAATAATAGTATTGAGAGACTTATTTACAAAATTTTTAAGGTTTATAGCTTCTGAAAGCTGTGTACTGCCAAAATTTTACGACAAACCTTTTTTTTTTCCTAATTCCCTGTAGACTTTATCTTGTACCATCGACCTCCTACAGCTTCGTTCGAATGCGCATTTGCGTTTCAATCAATTGCGCTACGGAACGTAATCTGAAATACTTTATAGAATTATACACCAAAACGTCAGTGTCTTTTTAATTCAAATATTTGGCAGATCCACGCTTTTTTTTCAAATTAAATTTGCTTTTTCTTGTTGTAAGTTGTAAATTGCCGCTTTAGTTTATTTTTTTATTTTTTTTACGCAGCGTTATAGATATTGCTTGCGATAAATAGCAACCCTCACCGTTTGTTATAAATAGGGCTTGTTTTTTTCCTGAGCCTGGCCAAATTTAAAAAAAGACAAGAAGATTTTGTGAACAAAACCTGCCGACATCTTTTCTACAACGAATTCGCTACCAATCAAAAGTTTTTCTGCCGAGTTTCTGTTCTTGTACTCCATGCTAAAGCCAAGTTTTCTTAAATATCAGTAACCATTGTCACATAAACAACGGCCTAAATAAATTTGAATAACATCTTTGTACCATTGCAATCGAGATGGAATCGTAAAAAAGTAATCGCATTTTTTTGGTTCGCAAACGGTAATAAAGTGTATAAAAACGAAATTGAACGGCTCATTGTATAATGCAGTTTATTAGTTATCTTTTCCATTCTTTTAAAAGATGAGGAGTTTCAAAATCTTTTTTAGGCTTGCTGCCCTGTTTTTTTCTCATTATGCAAGGCTTCTCTGGGTGAGCTACCAGTCCGCGCATGATATCACATCAGATTTTTCAATCACCAAAAACTAGAAGGCATAAATGAGTTGCACAAAAACTTGTAAAATTGCAAAAAATATGCCTGAAAAGGAAGGGAAAGAGCAAGCAAAATGAGGTTTGCTGCACTTGCTCTTCCTCATTCTTTTTTCCTTAAAGGTTTCTTCAGTTTCTGAGCTACTTTTTTTAAATAAAATCTTGTTTACAACAACGGTTGATAAGGAGAGTAATCAAAAAAAGTTAGCTTGAACCTCAATTCAAACCGGTAAATGGCCACTTCTTTCAGCTTTTTAACACTCTATATTACTGCGTTCTTCAGAGCTTTAAGCAGTACTGTTCAAGAAACACTGCTTTTCCAGCAAAATCTTGCAGGTAACGTAATTTTAGCTATTTCAGATGTGAGAGGAAGCTTTAGAGATCAATTTGCTTTCCCGCTTTATCAAAACTTGAAGGTATCCTTCAACTATAAATGCTAGAATAAAATCTGCTTGTTACCACACCTACCGCAGTGAAGTAAAAAAAAGAAAACGCCTCTATATCTCTTGCTAAGTTGTGTCGTTTTACCAATCGTAAAATGCCTAAAAATATAAGTACACCTGGAACTTGGGTAATTGAAATTTTAATACGAAAAAACACAACATTTAGTCATGAAGAATTAATAGTACTTAACACATACTAATAAGCATAACAAAAACAACGATCAGTAATGAGCTAATTTACAATTAAAGAAAATTAACCGACTGAAGCTGCCAAAAAAGAGATTAGCTGGTCAACAGTCAGAAGAAGTGCATCATTGTACAACGGGTCCTTTCTTCTTGTCAATCTGCTGGAAACGGCCAGCTGTCATCAATATGCAAGTTTTGGCCGTTTTCACGCTCGTCTGTCCGATACAGGTTGCTAATCGATTTCCATTAAATGTGCTAAGTGTAATTTTTTGCGTTATTCGACAAACTTATTATTACTGTACGATTTATTCATACGGACAATGCACGAAAATCATGATGAGATTAAGGAGTTTATAATCTGATGTTTACGAGGTAATATCCTAGATTCTCACTAATGTGTAGCTACAATACGAGTTGAAGGCTTAAATAGTGTATAAACGACAGTTACCAGTTTTTGAGAATTCTGAAGCCACTTAGCTGTTGTAAAGTAGTCACTACACTTATTGCTGCTGCAAGATCCACTCACAGTATGTGAGAAACAGTGCAGAATCAGCAAGTTTAAAGCACGCTGCTTAGCTGTCAATAAACCTCCGCTAATAGTTTCGAAAAATTGTTGAAAAACGTTCAAGAAAGCATCGACTAGACAATGAATTAGTCAGTGTCAGAATTGGAAGCAGAACTTTTAGAAAACCACTGCTACTTGTAATCAGATTTCCTGTCTCCAAAGTAACTCGGTTTCAAATGGATTCTTTTTGAGTATACATCAAAACTCCAAAATTCCATTGTCAATCACTTTTCTGAATTTACAACAGTCACAACTTTAGTTTTATCTTCTTAATATGGTAACTTTGGTAGAATTCTCTAGAAGTAAGCTCTGACTGAGCAAAAAAAATTATTTACTTGAGAACTTTTTCACCAGTTTAAAAACAGTGTTGATTTACTTACCAGTACAGTCTAAAGAAAGCAAAAAAAAACTTTTATTAAACTTAGTTTTTCAAGCACAAATGCGTGACAGTTAACACGTTTAAGGAGCACAAATAATAATTCGATAGAGACTAAAAACTTCAAAAAAAGAGCAAACAGCTTTATGATAAATCAAACGACGAAAACTGAATCTTTCAGGAACACATACCCAACAGAAAGGACAACAAGTATCATTAGTAAGAAGTTAGGCTTTATTGAGGTGTTAAACAAAAAAATCAAGTTTCCCATTCAAAGAAACACACTATTTACATCTGCTGAGAAAAGAGAAGTGGTTATTCAATGTTCCATTACAACAGTATCCTTTTTATATCAAATGAGATAGTACATTACCGCTCGTTGTTTTCAAAATAACGCTTTTGAATCGATTCTTCTTCAATTTTTCTTATTTTTGAAAAACGCGAGAAGTTTCTTAGAGCTTCTTTGGAGAT